TGAATTTCTACATTTTAAATAACATAACAATTGAAAAAATTTAGTCAATTTGTAAGCAAAAAACAAACAGTAATTTTTGAGGAAATTAGGAAAAAAATATTTTTTTAAACTATAAGTAACATAAAATTAGTGTCGATTCTTTTTTTTAACGATGAAAGAGTATTTTAAATTTGTTGAAGAAAAAAAGTTGCAAAAAAATTTGATTTTTAGAGTAGTAGACAAAAGTCGCTAAAACCTGGTTTACGGCGAAATTTAATTTTCGATTAAAAAAAAACAAATTGGATGTTTTTTTGGCAGAGCAGTATTAAATAAAATACTAACAAAAAATGGTTAATTTATAAGCAAAAAAAACGTAATTTTTGAGAATATTTGAGATAAACATTACATTTTTTTTTGAAAAATTATGAGTAACAAGAGTCAATTGTGTGTCAATACCTTTTTTAATGGAGAAAGACTATTTTAAACTTGTTGAAAAAAGGAAGTTGCGAAAAATTTGATTTTCAGAGAAGTAGACAAAAGTCGCTGAAACCTGGTTTACATCGAAATTTATCTTTCGATTACAAAAAACAACAAATTGGATATTTTTTTTCAACAAAGGAGTTTTAAATAAACAATTAATAAAAAAAAAACGGTTAAAGTAAAAGCAAAAAACAGGAATGGTTGAAGAAATTGGCAAAAAAATTACAAAAAAAGATAAAAAATAAGGCCACTTTATAATTATTTTTTTCAACCGAGAAATTCAACAGACAAAAAAGTGGACAAAAATCGCTAAAACAAAAACTTCTGATTGAAAACAAAAATATGTTAATTTCTACATTTTAAATGAAAAAAAAAACGTTAGAAACAGTAATTTGTTAGAATATTTGAGAAAATAATTACATTTTTTTTTTGAAAAAATATTAGTAATAACATAAGACTAACATCAATTCTTTCTTTTTAACGAAGAAAGACTATTTTGAACTTGCTGAAGAAAGGAAGTTTAAAAAAATTTGATTTTTAGAAGCGTAGACAAAAGTATTTGAAATCTGGTTTATGTTGAAATTAATCTTTCGATTTAGGAAAAAAAAAAACAATTTGCGTGATTTCTCTCTCAACGCAACTTTAAATAAATAGATAAAAAAATAATTTCTAAGAAAAAAAAAGTAATTTTTGAAGACTAACAAAAAGTTAGAAAAATTTTTATTACAAAACAAAGCTGTTTTTAAATTCTTTTTTAAATTGGAAAAATTTGGTTAATTTATAAGCAAAAAAACTGTAATTTTTGAGGATATTAGGGGGGGAAAGATTGTTGAAAAAGGAATTTGCAAAAAAATTTGATTTACACAAAAGTAGGCAAAAATTGGTGAAACCTGGTTTACGTTCAAATGAAAATTTCAATTAAAAAAGGACACAAATTGCTGATTTTTTTCAGCAAAGCAGTTTTAAATAAAATGGTTAATTTATAAACAAAAACAGTAAAGTCTAAGAAAATTAGCAAAAATTAACTACAAAAAAATTAATAAAAAACAAA